CTCGGCGCGCTTTTCGCGGAGTGTGCTGCCACCTAGCGGGAGGGCGGCGGCGGGCCGTCCTGCAGAAAGACGGGGTCTCCGCCCCAGCCGGCGCGGCCCGTGTGGCCGCTGGGGGCCTCGTCCCTGCACCCGGACGAGGAAGGGTGCGTGGGGCGGGCGCCGAGGCCGCGCTCCGAAGCCCCGCTGGGTTATGGATCCCCAGGCAGTCGCTGGGGGGGGGCTCGCTGCCTGCGGCGTTCCGAGGGCGGGCTGGTGGCCGCCTCCCGGCTCTGCGGCCTCCGGCGTCCACACTGGGCCGTCCTGGGAGGCGGACCCTCCTCCCTCTGTGCCCCAAGCGGCGAGAACGGAGCCCGGTCCGCGGTTCTGTCCGCAGCGGCCCCGTGCCATCAGCGCGCCCGCACCGCACCCGGACCTCGCCGGAGCCCTCGCGGGAATCGGGAGGCCCACTGAGGGCCTCCCCAGAAGTCTGCTGGGGCCCTCGGGCCTTGGGCTCTGCCAGAGAGGCCGGTCCACCAACCCCCCTCCTCCATCTTCCTCCGAGCCCAGGAAAAGGGCCCCGTCGGTTCCAAGTCCAGTTGCTTCGGAAAGCGCACTGCTCTCGGCGCCCTCGGGGGGCTTCCGCCTGGACGGACGGTCTGTGCTGTCGCTACGAGCTCCATCTGCTCGGGCACCTTGTCACACAGCACGGCGCGGAGCTCAGGGGTGTCGGGCGGCGCCCTCGGGCGAGCGGGCGCCCCGCCGTCGTGCGGGAAGACCAGGGGACAGCCCAGCCCCGGAGCCGTGTGCTGGCGCCGGCGCCCCTCTCGGACTCTGCCAGAGCCGCTGTTCCCAGCACAAACTCGGCGGGTCGTTCTCCTTAGAGCCCCGGGCATCTCCCGAATTCCTAAGCCGCAGGCCTTCCCTGCCGCGCTAGCTGTCCGTGCGGAGAGCACCTGCCACAAAACTCAGCTTCAAACAACAAGCACGGGCCATCTCACGGTTTCCAGGGCCAGGAATTCAAGCAGAGGTGAGCTGGCGCCTCCGAAAGCAGGTTTTACTTTTACTGAGGTGGGGTGAAGCCCGCAGATCAGGTGACATCAACCACGGCTGGAAAGTTATACTCAGAGACCCCGCGAGGACAGTCACCCCATGCCTGCCGTGCGGGGCCACAGACGAAGTGCCAGGAGCGGGCTCTCGCCGACACCGAGCCTGCCCGCTCGCCGATCTCAGACCTCCCAGCCTCCAGGCCTGCGAGAATGACACTCTGTTGTCCATAAGCCCCTGTCGGGGACATTCTGTTGCCCGAATGGACTGACATTTGCACCCTCCAGGAACTCTCCAAGGTCAGCAAGGCCCCCAATGTCAAAACATCAGAAAATGCACAGTATGATTAATACCGGGTGTTTCTGGCTCATGGCTTGAGGGAGGGGAGGACCCGCCTTTAACACTGTTCCCACAGCAGGTGGCTGGAGGGCTCGGGGCCTCATCACGCGGTCTGTCCATGGGGCCGCCTGAGTGTCTGAACGGCATGAGCCTGGCTCCCTCAGCGTGCGTGACCCCAGAGCGACAACCAGCCACCGTGGGGACTTGTGATGACCTTGTCTCTGAAATCACACACCATCCCCTCCACCTGTTTCTCCGTGTTAGAGGCACATCCCGAGTCCTGCCCACCCTCGGGGGGAGGGTAACTGAGCTCCACTTCTTGAACGGAGGAGAAAGAACCCGTGGGTGTATTTAAGAGACCCCACACGGGCTGGGCCAGGCTCTATTTCCATGCCCCCCTGCCCAAGACCCTCGGCCCCATCCCTCGCTTTTTAATCAAAGGCTCACATCAGAAGCACCAAGGAAGGTTGCTTTCGATCCAGATGCCCAGGATGCACTGTCTGACCGTGAATACTGCCCTAGGGCCACCCGAGGTAAGCCGCTGCCCCCAGGGGCCGCGCGCAGGGCATCACCACGGGCTTCTTGAGTAGCTTTCTTGGTCGGCCATGCCCTTTGTCCACATCATCTCGGGAACACTTTATTCCCATCCTCAGCCAGCTTCAATGCCACCTGCTCTGTGAACCGCTCCCAGAGCCCTGGTCTGGCACGAGGAACTGCTCCCTCTCCGTGTCCCAGGATCCCTCCGGACATACCTCCCATGAGGCCCGGAGCACGTGACGATAATATCAGAGAGGGTGTGCTTTTCTTTATAGCTAGACCAGGAACTGCTCAAAGGGAGACACGGACACATTTACACTAGCGTCCACAGCATCTGTCCCCTGGGGGACGGTTACCTTATTCTGGCTAAATGAATGACCGAGGGAAAAGCAAGTGGGCAGTCTCTGGAAGCATCTCTAGGAGACGTTTGGGGAAAGGGCAGGTTTCCCTCCCAAGTATGAGCTGTATCCTGGGAACGTCCAACTTCCTGCAACCGTGGGCTTCTGTCAAGACCACATATGAACTCTCCAGGCACTGGCCTGTTCTGATTCCAGGTGTTTGTCCCTTGTCCTATGATGAGCCAGTCCGTTTCTCTCGGGAACTTGACCCTCTGTGTCTTCCAGCTTGACTGGCCGCCTCCAGGCCTGCGCCAGCGTTCCCTGGATGATCCGTCCTTAGGTAGCATCTTACATTGTTATCTTGTCTCACATGCTCATCTCTCAACTGTTCGTCCACTCCTGAGAGCAGGACCGTGCATTGTGCCCATCTGGTCTTTGGTGCTTTGACACTCAGCATTCAGCAACTGTGTGTGTGAGCTGATGGACGTTTCCAGCACGTTCACCTGTTAGAGCAACACGTTCTATCTGCTGTGCGAACACTGATTCCAACCTCATAAAGTTCTTTCCATTTTTCAAGAAAAGCAGAGATGCAGGATGTCCTAAGTGTGGCGGATAATGTCCTGCTGTATTTGGAACGGCAGCACCTCATGAACCTCATGAGTTGTGGGTGCCGTTAGGGACGGTGCCGGAGCCGGGGAGAGCCGAGGTCCCGGCTCACGTGTCTCTTTGAAGAAGGACCCGTGTTTTCTGTCTGTCCCCCCCAGTCAGTCACATCACACTCTGAGTCAGGCAGAGCAGAATTCTTCCTTTGGTCGCAAATGAATTGAGGCCCCTACTTAGGCCATAATTGGACTCTTTTCTTTCCTTCACTGCATCGTGGTCTCTATTTGGCCTGAGGAAAAGCGGTCAAAAGGAAGACATTTGCACTGTCTACACGTAAGGGGAGGACGTCATAGCAAATCGTGAGGAGTAGGTGTGCTCTGTGCTCTGCAGGGCATGACCAGTACCAAGAACACACAGGAAGGGCAAGGGGGGCCAAGAGAAGAAAAACATTCTAGAAACACGATTTGACTAGTGACGAACTAGGCTGCCTTGTACCAAAGGATGGTGCTGAAACATTCAGCATTTAAATAGATGCTACCCACAGATCATCCATCAGAAGACCTACAGATGCAGCCGAGGATCTGCAAGTGGATTTGATCTAAATTCTCAAATTCATGCAAATGGCAGAGTGCATGGAACCTGATAGGATACCACGGAGTGTTGAAATAGTACACGTAATCTACACGTAATCTACACCAGCGTAAAATATGCCTGCTGTACGTGCTGGTGCGTGCCTACACGTCCCAGGAACATGCACGTCTGTGATGAGCAAAGTTGTGGGAGGTGCTGTGTTGCTGGAAAAGAAGCAGCAGCACCAAAGACTTAAAGGAAAATGGAGAAACTTTTTAATGAAACTTTTCTGTCCATCTCCTTTTTTCCTTCGTGTGTTTTCCTGCCATTGCTTGATGGCTGCCAGCCAAAAAGGCTCCCGCGGGGCTCAGCTGAAGGGCTCTTGGAGCAGGTACACGCTTCGTCTCATCCATCACTTAAATTCTACAGTTTTATGGTTTGATTCCTTTCTAAAATGTGTCCACAGCCCACCTACGGGCAAAAACCCCTTCCTGCAGAGCCGGGAACTAATCATCTCGTCCGTGGCTCCCGCAATGATGCACACCTATGTAGAAAGTCACTTTACATATGACTGAGGGCCCATTACTAGAGATCTAAGGAGATGAAACAAAGAGTTACTTCAGGGGAAATGTGTAAATTGAAGTTTCCACCTTTCCAGAGCGCCCAGTTCTGGCTCTGACGTCCTGTTGGACATGTCCTGGAGTTCAAGCGAATGTCGGGGTCCCGCCCCCGGTGGAACAGAAGCTCTGCATGAGCCTTCCCTCTGCTCTAAACCTGCATCCACAGGATCCCATGGCACTTACTTATAAATGTGTTTATGGGGAACTTTTCAAAGTCTATGGTGGTTAGTGATTCATAGTGGCATGAATGGTATTTTTGGTGTATAGTTTACCGAAGTGGACACGAGGAATTCATTTCTTTACAGGTCATACAAGCTGCATCCACTGTCCCACTGCTCAAATAGTTGAATAATTCATCGCCCCCACCCAAACAAAAACAAAAACAAACAATGCAGCACTGTTAGTATTGCTGAAATCGTTTCCTTCTGGGAAATGGGGATCGGGTAGGTGAACGGCATCGTTTCTGAGAGCCGCCGTCCTAGGGCTACACCCAACTTCCCCGCCTCCGGTTCCGCAACGAAACTTAGCGAACACGGCCCTAGGTTCTTGTTCTCCATGGCTCCATGGAAATGCAGGGAAAGATAGACAGCAGTGAAGAGTGGTTTTACCACTTTGGAACTGACCAGCCCCCTTCCAAATTCATATCCCACACCCGTGTGTAAGGCTTGCACGAGCGCCCAGCCACGCTCAGCGATGCCCTGTGGTGGTGCGGGCACCCTGCACTGCGCGTTCTCTTGCTTTGCCATAAGCAGCAAGCCAGGTCTGCGGGCTCTGTGCTGGACAGAGCAGTGACCCCTGAAAGATGTCCATGGGCTCGTCCCAGGAACTCCTGCATATCTTCCCTTTGCTACCAAAGGACTACAAAGATTTAAAAATGGAGTTAAGGTGTTATCCTGCATGGACCCAGGATAAAGCCATAAGGGTCCTTAAAAGTGGGAGTGGGAGACAGGAGAGTCAGAGGGAGACGTGACGACAGAGACAGCGTCAGTGTGGAGAGATGGAGAAGGACCCCGACCAGCCCTTGCTCACGTGGGAGACAAAGGAAGGGGTCACGGCCCAGGAACGCGGCAGCCTCTGGACGCTGGAACAGGCAAGGGCGCCGATTCTCCACCAGAGCCTCCAGGAGGAAGCAGCCCGGCCGACACCCTGATCTCCGCTCAGACTCCCAGCTGCAGAGCCTTAAGAACAAACGTGTGTTCCCAGCCGCTGCATGGGCGGTGATCGGTTCCAGCATCGAGAGCCAGCCTTACCCCTGCCGAATATGTTTTCTCGAGATCCTAGGGAGACAAACGGCTCACAAGAGAGGGAGGAAAACACAGGGAAAGACCAAACGCTTTGACCAGCCTTACCTCGCATTTTTACACGAAGGGAATTTGCTGCAAATTAATTCCTTTCCCTTCTACTTTCTCCCTGGCTAGCAAAGGTCCTCCGTGTGTGCAGGTGTTCATGTATTCACTCAGTA